TTTTTGAGATTAGGGGTTTGGAGATTTAAGGATTGGGATAGGGGAAGGATTTGGCCTCCGATAATCTCACTCATATGGCGAAATATCACGGATTAGAAGAATTTAATGTGCCTCTGAGAAAAGCAAGACGACGGCCACCTCACCGCTGCTCATGAGTAAGAGTCCCGTCGCGACTTGAAACTAGTCGAGCTTATCTCAATTAATTCACGTGAGTAGGTAAGTCTATTATTAGTTTTTGCAAATCTCAATATCACACAGCAAGTACCTACCTAATATATTATCCAAACTAATACATTATAAATAATATACCTAATATATTATAAATGCGAAAGTAACTCTGTCTGTCTGTCTTTCTTCACAACTAAACTACTGAACCGATTTCTGTGATACTTGGTACAGACATAGTTTGGAACTCGAGAAAGGACATAGGATAGATTTTTATACCAAAAATCTTTCGTCGGAGTCGCGGGCAAAAGGTATAGTCTATACTAATACTTATTATAAAGAGTTAAAATTTGTATTTTTGTAAGTTTGTATGTTTTAAGGGAGAGATGACATCTTTACTGTCTATACTAATATTATAAAGAGGTAAAATTTGTAAGTTTGTAATCTTTGTACCGCTGGTCGGATTGTCAAAATTCTTTCACTGATAGATAGCTACAAAGTTCCTGAGTGCTATAGTCTATAAAACATCACGCTACGATCAAATGGGGCCGAGCAGCAGGTGAAACCGCGCGAGATTAGCTAGTGTCTTATAAAATAATAATTAATTATTATATCAATTCCTATAATTTAAGTGATTATGTCAGATCACATAATCACTAGCTAAAATAAAGGTTAATCATTCGTTGTAACCTCAAGTATAAGTTCAAAGTTATATAATATAATGTTTAGCTAACTAAGGACGTTTAGTTAAACTAGACTGCCTCGGTTTAGTTAACTCAGTCAGTTAGTTCAGAATCAAGTTTTTTTTTAACCGTCATATGTTTAAAAACGTGACTTTTGACTCAGTTTCTTTTGTGAGAGAAACGAGCAGACGGATTACCTGATGGTAAGCAATTAGCGCCACTCTCAACACCGAAAGAGTTACAAGTGCGTTGGCGGCCTTTTGGGGATTAGAGATTGGAGATTTTGGTATTGGGAAGGGGAAGGATTGGCGAAACACACAAGGCGAAACACAACGCTGTAGTTGTTTCACGCCGGTTTTCTGTGAGGCCGTGGTATCACTCCGTTCTAGCCGACCCATTCGCATTCGCACTTAAAACACACCAGAAGGCTTGCAAGTGCGTTGCCGGCCTTTTGGAGATTAGGGTTTGCAAAATTTTGGGATTAGGGGAGGGAAAGAATTGGGTCTTCTATACCAGTATTGAGATCCCCTGCTGGCTATTAGTAACCATTCCAATCGCAATCAGATTTGCGTTATAATAATCTTGATCTACTTTCTCTGCTAACACCATAATTAGAAAAGTCTTGATGTTTACTTTATTATTTATCTCAAAAACTAATCTTTACACTCTCCTAAATCAGATAGGCAGAGAGCTAAGGTATTATCTACCTATATACTAATATTATAAAGAGGTAAAATTTGTAAGTTTGTATGTAGGGGGTAATCTGTGGAACCGCTGGCCGGATTGCCAAAACTCTTTCACTGATACATAGCTACAATGTTCCTGAGTGCTGAGGCTATAAAACATCACGCTACGATCAAATGGAGCCGAGCAGCGGGTGAAACCGCGGTAGCAAGTTTATTATATAGACGTTATTAAACGGAAAATCCCTCAATAACAATCTACGACCCAAGAATCGAACCTGAGGCCTCGTTCTCGATTATTATTTAAGTATTTAATGCTTAGAATCGCTGCGAGCATAATGCATACTAATTCGCGAAGCTATTACAGCGAAACTTGTTGTAACTGGCATACATTACATTTAGCGTGTAAAATTCAATTGAACAAGTTATGGGCGATAGCGGGGCCAACTTTTTATACATATAAATGTATATCGTGGTAATTTGCGACAAAATAGGTTCGCGAACGCCGGCGTCCGCTTGGGGGTTTAGTGAATTATATTATTAAATTATATCTAGCATAGAACCTAGTTATTATGTGTGTCTTTCAAAAGTCAATTGACAATTACAAATTCACAGTCACAGTCGAAATAGAAAAATGATTTTCATTAAAAAAAATATAACTCTTTATCTATACTTCTATACTTATATTATAAAGAGGTAAAATTCGTAAATTAAATTCGTTAAACCTTTTAATCGTGGTAATTGGAGACACAATCGAATCGAAAAATAGGTTGGCGAACGCCGGCGTTCGCTTGGGGATTGGTGAATTGTTAGCGTTATTATGTAGTCAAATTGTATCTATCAAAAGTCAATTGATTTTACTAATTCACATTAAATTGTTATCCTTAACCATTTCTCAACCAGAAGGCGGAAGAGAAAAATCTTCTCATTCAAAAAATTCATCATCATCATCATCATGATCATCAACAGCCTATAAGACGCACTGCTAAGGCCTCTTCTCATACGGAGAAGGTTAGAGCATAAATCACCACGCGTGCTTAATGCGAGTTCGGCGATTTCAAACATATAATTAGAAAATATAAGTCCAGGTTTCCTCACGATGTTTTCCTTCACCGTATGTCAGTGGTGTCTAAATAATCATAGAAAGTACATATCAGTCGGAAAAACTCAAACTTATGCATGAGAAGCGGGCTCCATAACCTTCGGGCTACCATGTCATAAAAACACTTTGGACTGCACGGTTGGTGCGGTGGGTGGGCAACTGGCTGCCGTGCAACGTGTCGCGGGTTCGATTCCCGCACGGAACAACACTTTGTGTGATCCACAAATTGTTGTTTCTGGTCTGGGTGTCATGTGTATGTGACATTGTATGTTTGTAAACGCACCCACAACACCGGAGAAAATCCTAAAGAGGGGCAAAGTTTTTTTTAAAAAGAAACCATGTGAATATTAATATACAAAACTCCAATTTCTCATGACTTGTAGATACAGATAGTTAGTGGTATTACGAAAATCGGATGGCGATGTGTTGTAAGGAAAAATTACACAAATCGCGCACCTACGAAGTTAAATTTCGTTTGACCGCTGTTGTAGAGCGATTTTATTTTGTATTATTTTGCTGGCCGCGACTCCGTTCGCGTGGAATAATGATTTCCTGCAGACCTTTGGTATAAAAACTATCCTATGTCCTTTCTCGAGTTCCAAACTATGTCTGTGCCAAATTTCACAGATATCGGTTCAGTAGTTTAGGCGTGAAGAAATGACAGACAGACTGAGTTACTTTCACATTTATAATATCTATTAGTTTGCAAAAAATAATGTCGTGGTGGCCCGTAGGTTAAGGAGCCCGCTTCTCATGCATGAGGGTGTGGGTTCTAAACCTGGCAAGAACCAATGTGACTTTTTCCGAGTGATATGTACTTTCTATGATTATTTAGACACCACTGACATACGGTGAAGAAAAACATCGTGAGGAAACCTGGGCTTATAATTTCTAATTATAAGTTTGAAATCGCCAACCCGCATTGAGCAAGCGTGGTGATTAATGCTCTAACCTTCGTGTGAGAAGAGGCCTTTGCTCAGCAGTGGGCACTTATAGGCTGATGATGATGATGGTGATTAGTTTGCAAGCTCCGCGTAATATGTACTTTCTATAATTATTTAGACACCACATACACCTTATCTACACCAAAAAATCGACAGAAAGAAAACGCTAACGTTGTGTTTCGCCGTGTGAGTGAGGTTACTGGAAGAGTAATCCTTCCCCCCATCTTCAACCGTCCCCCTTAAAATAATCCCCTATCCTTACGTCCCTAGTAACCAAAAGAGGTCGGCAACGCCCTTGTAGTAACTCCTTTGGTATTACGAGTGTCGATGGGCGGCGCTGATTGCTTACCATCAGGTAATCCATCTGCTCGTTTGTCGAACTCCAACCCTGATGTCAAATGGCGGATATAAATGAAATTAAATGTTTGAATAAGTAACCTTAATCGTGAACCAAAGTAAAGGTCATTAATAACATGCGCAGGCGCAACTGACACTGGTAACCCATCAAAATCCCAGCCTCGGCAACTGACGCTTAACAACTTTCCCAGGTTACTTAGTAATTGCAACTTAAACAAAACAACCTCGAAGGTAGGTAGTTTTCGGAATTATCGCAAGGTCACCCATCTTATTTTTAACCGCAACGCGGGTTGCTTAACTTGAGCTTAGTCATGTTGTGACGTGGGTTAAAAAATTCCGTTACCTATATACAGAATTTAATTTTTATGTCACGATCAATGACATGCTTAAAAACATATCATTGCGCCGGTTTTAGATTGAGGATAAGCAGAGATTAAAGAGGTCTACAACATTGCATATTAATGACTAGCTTATGCCCGTGACTCCGTTCGCATGGAATAGTGACTTTCTGCAGATTTTTGGTATAAAAAGTATCCTATGTCCTTTCTGGAGTTCTAAACAATGTCTGTACCAAATTTCACAGAAACGGTTCAGTAGTTTAGGCGTGGAGAAAAGACAGACAGACAGAGTTACTTTCGCATTTATAATATTAGTATAGATAAGTATAGTTATAGATTATAAAAAAAACGTTTTATTGTTTTTAAAGTTTTGTTTTTTTGTACGTCCGCTTAGATACATAAGGTATAAATTGAAAACCTACATGGATGACTTTTATTTCGTTTTTCTTCACCTTGACCATTTTTGATAATGAAATAATGAAACAATGAATTTATTTTTGCAAATAGGCCATATATGTGAAAAACTAGATGAAGCCGAAATTTCCTATCCGACTACCCTGAGAAGAAATGCCGAAACAAACTCAGAGGTCAGTCTCTTTTTAAGTCCAGACAATGTAAAAATAACATAATAATAACATAATGTGTAATTATCAAAATTTCATCAAAACAATTGAAGCCGTTTAGGAGATGAAATCAACAAAATAAAGCGTAAAAAAACAGGTACATACCAAAACCTAATTTCTTTTGTTGCGATATTAGCATGCTGATAGGCACGCGACGATCCTGGTTGGGTGCCAGCCCAAACAAATGGTTTCGGGCTGTCTGAGTGACTGTAAGTCGCGTCATCTTGCTGGATGCGTGATCTGGTCTCCGCTACATGTGTGGTAAATCTGGAAAAAAAGAAAAAGAGAACATTAGCTTCTATAAAAAAATATTTGTGTGAGAATCGCACTGTCGTCAGACATTTTTTTTATGGTATAGGTCGGCAAACGAGCAGACGGATTACCTGATGGTAAGCAATCAGCGCCACCCATGGACACCCGTAATACCAATGGAGTTACGAGTCTATTGCCGGCCTTTTAAGTATAAGGGTTTCGGATAGTTAAGGATTGGGAAGGCATGGGGTGAAGGGGAAGTATTGGGCCTCCGGTAACAGCACTTACACGGCGAAACTCAACGTTGTGTTTGTTTCACGCTGGTTTTCTGTGAGCCCGTGGTATCACTCCGGTGCAGCGTGCGCCTCGTGATTTGTTTTTCTTAATTAATTCACGTGAGTAAGTTGTTAGTGTCGTGGTGGCCCGAAGGTTAAGGAGCCCGCTTCTCGTGCATGAGGGTGTGGGTTCGAAACCTGGCAAGTACCAATGTGACTTTTTCCTAGTTATATGTACTTTCTATGATTATTTAGACACCACTGACATACGGTGAAGGTAAACATCGTGAGGAAACCTGGACTTATAATTTCTAATTGTAAGTTGAAAATCGCCAACCCGCATTGAGCAAGCGTGGTGATTAATGCTCAAACCTTCTCCATGTGAGAAGAGGCCATTGCTCAGCAGTGGGCATTTATAGGCTGATGAGGAGGAAGTTGTTAGTACTACATAGTATAAAACACAGTATTTATTTCTGTCCCTATAGGTATCCCTATGTATGCTAAAATCTTTAAAACTGATTTTGATGCGGCTTTTTTTTATAAATACGTAGAGTGATTGAAGAGGAAGGTTTACATCCATTAAATGGTGGAACGTTACACCCGTGCAAAGCCGGTACGGGTCGCTATTTCTAAATTGTAAGTTTGCAATGGCCAATCCGGTTTGAGCAAGCGTGGTTGTTAATGTTCAAACCTTCTCCAGGTAAGAAGAGGCCTTTGCTCAGTAGTGGGCACTTATAGGCTGATGATGTGGTGTATGCAACGAAATTAATAAACAGACAGCTATTTTCTAGACAAGATGAAAACGATTCCAGAATTATAAAAAAAAACAAATTCAGAAACTACGCATTATTTATTATTATAATGACTCAATTTAATTAAGTTGTTATCGATATATCAATCAAAATGTACCGAATAACTATTAACATTTTTTTTCGAATTAACTACCTAGTGTATGTTTATAAATTCTTAGTAAATTGCACGTCTAATAAACACGGCTTATTAAGTTGTAGGTAATCACTAATCAATGAATAAGAAAAACAGTTAGTTACCTATACTAAAAACTCGATTGATATTTTTTTCCAAAAAATATTTTTTTTTATGTTTATGCAAACGAGCAGACGGATTACTTGATGGTAAGCAATCAGCGCCGCCCATGGACACTCACAACGGAGAAGTTACGAGTGCGTTGCCGACCTTTTAGGGATTTGGGATTTGGAGATTTAGGGATAGGGGGAGGGGAAGGACTGGGCCTCCGGTAACCTCACTCACACGGCGAAATACAACGCTGTGATTCTTTCACGCCGTTTTTCTGTGAGGCCGTGGTATCACTGCGGTCGAGCCGACCCATTCGTGCCGAAGCATGGCTCTCCCACACTTGAGCGACAGCTACAGTAATTGGATCATTATTTAGATTAGCGCCATCTATCCCTAGATGCTAGATCCCTAAATTAGTAAACTTTCCGAAAGTTTTTAAAAAGCACGGAGTTTGAAATAGTTTCCGATGTGTGGTAATAGGCTTAACCCTATTAAGCAGGACTTATAATATAATCGATTAACAATAGGTACATTTTGCTGAGACTTGGTCCCTAAAAACTTTTGTCTTGTGTGGTTATGCCTCCCGCTAGGTGGACCGACGACATCGTCAGAGTCGCGGGGAGCTAATGGATGCAGGTGGCGAGATGTCGTTCAACATGGAGGACTAAGGAGGAGGCCTTTGTTCAGCAGTAGATGCCTTCCAGCTGATGATTATGAGTTCTATTTTACATACGTACGTATTTTTACCTACCTTACACCTGATATATAAAAAGCTGTGTCGCCATAAATATAATTTATCAAAAGACGTCATCGATATCAATCTAACACGTGTCGTAATTCGAAAAAAAAGTTTCGAGTCAATTTTTTTTTTTTTTATTAAAATGCCTATAAAAAAACTTTATCGTTTGGGAAAACGTCAGCCTATTTGAATCAGTAAAAAAAAAAATTCGGCGGTAGTAAGTTTTTATTACTTGTAATTAAAAGTTATAGAGCTTGTTTTGACGCATGTAGAGACCGACCATCTCGGATGATTTTGAGATGATTATATACACAAACATATATCCAAACTATTATATATTATAAATGCGAAAGTAACTCTGTCTGTCTTTTCTTCACGCCTAAACTACTGAACCTATTTGTGTGTGTAATTTGGTACAGACATACTTTGGAACTCGAGAAAGGACATAGGATAGTTTTTACACCAAAAATCTACAGAAAGTCACTATACCACGCGAACGGAGTCGCGGGCAAAAGCTAGTATGTATAATAAAACATTAACAAATATAATTTTTTGATAAGGGGAAAGAATCATTGAATTATTTTTCCCGCTTTGGCAGGAGTGTCAGACTCTTACTGACTAAAAATGACCTCGTACGCAATCCCTCACATAAATAATATTCTACTAACATTTTAAACGCGAAAGTGTGTAAGTACGGATGTATGTTTGTTACTCGCTCACGTAAACACTACTGAACGGATCTGAATGTAATTTGGCACAGAGATAGATTATAGTCTGGAATAAAACGTAGGCTACTTTTATCCTAGTACTTGAGGCCCGCCCCCGCTTCGCACGGGTCCCACTATCTCGCTATCAAAGGTTCACTTTTTCCCAATCTTCCCCTCTACTTTTCTAATATTTTCTTTGATAAAAACCTTCTCCTGACCATAACAAACACAACAAAAAAATTATTAGCAAAATTGGTCCAGGCGTTGTTGAGTTATGCGCTTACCAACACATTTTGCAATCCATTTTTATATATAAGACTAGAGGAAGCAGCTGGCAGAAAAACGTTTACAAAAAAAAAAAAAAAATTACTATTAAGAAAAAGAGAAAAAAATTCTCTGTTATAGAAAAAACTAAAAAACATCAGTTAGTATTATTTATTATTTAAATCTGTTTGCACAGACTAATCTGCGGAACAAATCGATTCGGCTTGTTACCTATTTTCAACATTCAATATGAATTAAAAAAATAATAAAATTTCATAAATAAATTACATTAACTTTGATTTTGCCAATACTGGAGTTTATTACTTATACTTAAGCGTTTATCTCTGGGATTGGTGTGTGGGAGAGCCGTGCTTCGGCGGGAAACCTTGAATACGTTGTTTCGCTGTGTGAGTGAGGTTACCTGAGGGTTAGTCCTCCCCACTAATATCCCAATCCCTAATCTCAAATACTAATCCCAATACCAATCCCCAATTCCCAATCCAAATACAAATCCAAATACAAATTCCCAATCCCCAATCTCACAAGCAAATCTTCAAAAAAAGTAGTAGAGTAAAGAGATAGTAAAGAGATGCAATTTTTTGAGGATTAGGGTTTAGGGGAATCTCTAATCCCCAAAAAATTGCATCTCTTCGAGTAGCAGGAATCGCCAAGCAGCGTAATTTGCTCACCACAAGATCGGTCAACTCGTTTGCTAAATATACCTACCTACCTAATTAATAAAAAAAATGATTTGATCAACTTTCGAAAAATCTTTGCTTATTAATTTTATCTTACATTTTTTTGTCAATCTAAGTACCGAGGAGTATTTTACATGACCGGTTTTTTCAAAATGTCAAATAGGTATATTTATCTTTTTCAAAAATAGGTAGCTAGGTAAGTATATTTATTAGTTTTTTCTTATATAAAACCAAACTAGATATCACCCGAAGGCTACAAGTTTTTCAAAAACTTAAAAAAAACCGGCCAAGTGCGTGTCAGTTTGAAACCTCGATTTATCGATGATTCGAGCAATGAGCAATTAACGACATCTTTACAACATTGTTATAATATGGTGGCTCTCTTTTCATCATCATTATTTCTCCCGCCCAGGGATAGGCGAGTGGGAGTGTCAGACTCTTACTGACTAAAACCCCCCGTTCCTTCTCCTGCTCTAGGCCGAGGCCGCGGTACTTACAACGGAGATCATCGCTCGATCTCTGTCGCCCCAAATGTCGCCTACTGTGACGTCTGGGGCGTGAGGAGGATAACTATCCTCCTCACGCCCTCACGCGCTCCAGCTCCTCCTTCTCGCTTTCCAGTTCCTTTCGCTCCGAACCATGGCCTCGACTAAGGCCGGACGCGAGAGGTCTCCGTAGCCGATCGCTTCCCTGAGGATACGGCGGTGCTCAGCCCAAGCAGGCTACACCGCCGCACTGTATGCTCCACCATATCTTCTGGGTGGTCCTAACACTGCTTTGATTGGTATTGTTCGTCGGACAACTCAGCAGCAACAGTAAGTTCAGCTGGTTGCAGACTGACACTTGCGTGCCTGCCTTCAGAACGGGTCTACTTAAACTGGTGTGGTTCTTTCCTCAAAAGACCACTACAGAATGAACTTGCATGATTCTCACACATTAAGTTTTTTACATTGTCTGGACTTTAAAAGAGACGGTCCTTTAAGTTTGTTTAAACGATTCTTCTCAGAGTAGAGAGTTCATCTAGTTTTTTACATACAATTTGACGTGTAAAATGCTGTTTTATGACCTATTTGCAAAAATATTTTTTTTTGTTTCATTGTTTTTATATTATTATTGCGACAAGCAACATAATAATAATGAGGAAATATTTTTTTTATATATTTGATTTTCATCGACCAGTTTTACGTCCGCGTTGTTTTTGAAATGTCAGTAATTATCATTTTCAAAAATACATTTTGGTTTTTAGTCTAGATCCACATCGGGCTACAAGTTTTTTCAAAAAATGTCACA